AGATTAAAATAATTTATTCAATACCACTTAAAACTTATTAGATATTTATCTTAGACTTAGTAAGATTATTTAATATCATTTAATTAATTCTATTTTTATAAAAATTGTAAACAAATATTGAGCCCACACACAATCTCTAGCGTTTCAAACTAATTTTTTTGTTAGATATAAGGGTGAGTAGTTTTGATCCCTTAATTATGGCTAAATTCTAATTTTACTCTTTGTGATATCTTATACTAAGGATGTTTAATTTTAATTATTTGAAATGTGCATTTTTATCTTTAATTTGCTTGTTAATATTCACAATATTCTAGAATTATCAAATCATTTCACAATTTAACTACACATACCACACGTTTTATGTTAAAATTGTATTTTTACTTTTATTTTAAGTTATATACTTTTATAATATTCCAAGTATGACATATTTCTTGGAGTACATATTTTAGTTAATAGAATGTTGCTTTAATGTGACTATATATAAAAACCAAAAGTATCTAGACTGAATATAATGTTTTAACATTATTAGTGTAGTTTAAAACTTTATACCATGTACATTAGTATAACCATTTTTTTAAAGTTGTCAATTAATATTTGTCATAAAAATGTATTTAAATTTTTTGATATGAGTTAATGCTTTGGTATTATTAGGTGTTACTCCACTACTGATATGACATCAAATGGGGTATGAGGCTTAGGAATAATGAATCTAATTCACAATGTTGTCGATATCTAATCATCTTTTGTTAGGACTCATTTTAAAATAATTAATATTCTCTTGTATTTTAGTATTCAACTATAAATTATTTAAACACACACCCGGCCCCAACCTTGTGTTTTCTCTTGTCATAGTACACGCAACTATATTAATCAAATAATTTATCCATTTGGCTTGCTTGGCGGTAATTGAACACCCTCCATCATCGATCAACCGCAATAAGTTTGATCGTTCGAGTTTGTGTTGAAGGATAAATGAAAATATTGTTATCTTTTTAGGATAAGACGAGAACATGATTATACATATATTACAATATACACATTATACACACACAAGAAATTTAGAATTCAAACTCAATCAATTTAATTACAATATTACAAACAAAAAAAGGAAGATAAATAAGTCGTTTTAATGGTGTTTAGGTTATTGCATTATTTTGATATTTTTATCACTGTCATTTCCCCTTTTTAGCTTTGATGTGTTATACTCGGGTTGAGGATCTTCCAGAAATAACTTCTCACATCTACCTACGTGTTAAGAATTCCCACATCAGAAAATAAATGGGAATTTAGTCTCTTTACATGGATTTGGACAATCCTTCCCTCGTAAGCTAGTTCTTAAGGTTGAGTTAGGTCCAAGATACATCTTTACATGCAGTGGCGAACCCAGAATTTTTGTTCAGGGGGTTCAAAAAATAAAAGTATAAACGTGCAAATAAGTCTTTCGATATGGGACCCTTGAATTCTTTTGGATTTAAAATCACACTTTTAGCACGTTTTTAAAATAAAAAATAGATTTTTTAAAATATATATATAAACTAAAACTAGAAAAAAGAAAATAAATAAATGTTGTTGCAAGGATTCAAACTAGGAGCATCCAGCTTAACATTCAGGGGTCTTTTCACTGAGCTATTTATATCTATTTGTTATTGAGGGGGTTCAAAATATATACATCTACAAAATACAAAAAAATTAACTTATATATAACATGTATTGTTTTGCCGAGAGGGTTCAAGTGAACCCCCTGGACCCAACATGGGTCCGCCCCTGTTTATGGTATTAGAGCTAGGCTCATCCCGTTTACTTGTTTATCGATGTTGAGCCCCGTATTATAGTTGGGTGTGGGGGAGAGTGTGGAGAATTCCCACATCAAAAAAGGATGAAAATTTAGTCTTTTTATATGGACTTGGATAATCCTCCCCTTAATTATAACGCGGGATTTGAATTTTCATTAGATATATGTTATTATGGTTACTGTAGTGTATACCAAATCTCAAGATAATTTGAATAAAAGTCCTAAACAGTACTACTAATACTAGTAGTATATATATGTTGCTTGGTGTGGAAATTGTCTTGATGCATTACAAATGGCCGACAATTAGATAGGAAGCAGATGGAGATACAGGGCCCCTCATATATAATGTGCAAAGGAGTTATTAGTGTTTGCCTAGGCATACATGCTATATTTAACATTGAACATATATATATATATATAGAGAGAGAGAGAGAGAGATAATCATACAATATAGTTGTTTGAAATCAAAAAAAAGATATGGTATTTTTAGGATTGATCCAAAATGAGAGTTTGCTATTGTAATGGACATCTTAGTTTTTTTTTTTGTCTCAATGCTGAAATGAGAGGATTCTTAAAGATTTTGCGTGTGGTTAAGGAGTTTGCTTTGTCTAATCAAAGTAAAAGAATTGGGACCCAAACTTCTCTCAACTCATGTGTTAGATTTGTTTGTCCGTGTATCTTTGTACAATCCAAATGTTTTGGGAAATTAAAGAGAGGACTAAAGAAAACATATTGAAAGGGAAAGCTGCTTTTTTTTTTTTGTCTTTTCGAGGCGGAGGTAAAATTTCAATTACGTGCAAATTTAATATAAATATTCAATATTATTGATTAAAATCATATACTTATATGAATAAATTCATAGCTAATTATATGTCTAAATACTTTATAATGGAGTCAAGTTAATTATTTTTTCTAAAGTTCAAAATCTATAAATTCAAAACTTTTGATTTGTCATTAGTCATTTTAACCTGCCCAAATTAAGTGCTATCCACCTATTACATACTCATGAAGTTGTTGATTATATTAAAATAACCTCTTTTTTTTTTAATTTTTACCTGTTTATTTTAATATAAAATAACCTTTTTTTTTGTTTTTATCCTTAAAATTAACTATTCATTCTAAATTCATCTTCAAGTTAACAAAAGCTTATAGACCAATTATTATAAGTATTATAATAAAATGTACATCTTATTTATTATGTTTTAATGTGTATGTAAAATATATGAACGAGTAAAAAAGAACGAGATATTATAAACATTTTATGCGCCATCTATTGATATTCCTTGTCGTTACTTCTGGCTTTCGGTTTACTCTAAAAGCTGCTTTTAGTAAAAGTAACACATGTCCATATAGGATTATGATCAACATATCTTCGTTCATGGGATACATACTTTTGATGACAAAAAGTTAACTCCAAACGCCTAATTAATTGACTAAGTTCATTGGTCTATATATATCTACTAGTACGTGTAGTGAAGTATTTGACATTTGAAAATGACACCAAATTTTGATGGTTACTAATGCATGTAAGACCTTTCCGTTGGATATGTTGTTATTGTAATGAATGTATGACTCATTTTTTATTAGACGTGATTTGAATAACTAGTCATATCTTATAATAATGGTACGTGGAGAATTACTTTTTCTTTTCTTTTCTCAAAATTATGGCCAAGTACATATTTGTTTGACTAACAAGTCGTTAGTGTTTTTATTTTTTGGATGTGTCTCAACTGAACTAGGCATATCCAAACGATAAGAGTAAGAGTCTGACCAAATATGCACCATGCTTAGGAAATAGAATTAGACTAATTAATGAAGGAATGAACTAAGTGGTGTTTATATAATTAAGTTAACTTTATATGCTTTGTTTATTGATATTCGACATACCCATGTGGCCATGTGTCATTCTTCACTAATCTTCGAAAACTTTAATTTGTCCAAAATTTTGTTGAATGATTGTGATTGTGTAAGTTAAATATCGATAATTGAGTGATTTTTGAATTAATATTCGTAATTTATTGACTTTTAAAAAAAATATAGTTAAGTGACTCTTTAAGGAAAAAAATAATTTATATAATTAAATGATCATATGAAATATTATCTACGAGATTTCATCTATTTTGTTTGCATGCAGTCTACTGTTTTTTTCTTTAAACTTTAGTTATAGATTTTAACAATGAATTCTGAGACGATAAATATAGTTACACTCCCTCTATATAAATCAAAATGGCACCATATTTATCTATAGTAACGATATTTTCCAACTTATAGTGACATTTTGCTATCAATATATACACAAACTTACTTTAATAAAAACACTTTTTTACCGCATTAAATATATACATTAAAAGAGAATGTTAAAATCGCTATCAATATTAATTAATAATCATTTTGATCTAATATCTTACCGGCTTTAAAAATATATATTTAGCGATTATTAAAAGGGCAACTTTCACATATAGCAAACAAACAATTCATATTTGTATGTTATAGCAAACTTTGTATAATTGCGCTCCACAGCAAACATAAAACTGTATAATTCGCTATACATATACAAGTGTATAATTCGCTGTTCTATTTCGCTTCAATTGTATAATTCGCTATCCTATTTCACTGCAATTGTATAATGCACAATTGTATAATTCACTGCCTATTTCGCTGCAATATTAAGTGTATAGCAAGAAGATATATGTTTTTCTCTCACTTTATACAAAAACAGAAACACAATATATACACTTCTGTTGTATAAAGCTAGAGAAAATTGTATTTCACTGCAATTGTATAATTCGTTGACCTTTTTCTCTGCAATATTTGAAGCAAAATGTTTGTAAATTGTATAATTAAGTGTATAACACAAAGATATATTTTTTTGCATGTGTATATACAATTTTTCTCTCGCTTTATACAAAATAGAAACAGAATTATACACTTCTGTGTATAAAGCGAGAGAGGCGAGCGAGAATGGAGAGTGGCGAGCGAGACTTCTGGGATAGAAAAGCTGACAAATTTTAGCTAACGTTTGCTATGAAGCACAGTTAAATCAAACCCTAGCTATTCTATTTATTTTAGGTTATTAGTTTGCTATTATATACAATTTTCCCTTAAAATTCTTAATTCTCTCCCCTAAGTGGGCTGGGTTCTCACTAATTTGGAATTGAGAAGCCCAGTTTGTATATCATGAGGCCCAATTTCAGATGGATTCGGCCCCGTCAATTTATTGATTTCTCAAATCGCCTAACAGCATTCCTCTTTTACCGGTCCAAAATCCAAAACCCTAAACCTCTCTCACCCGAACCTCGTCTGTGGACTTGCTCCTCTCCGGCGAACAACTCGTCGGCGTAACCCTCCAGAGGCGTTATCTAATTGTAAGTCTTTTTTTCTCTCCTTATTTGTCGTACTGTGTATCTCTTATCACTTTCTCTACAGAACATAAGTTAACCTATATATCTATTTTCATGCTGGGTTTGCTGTTAGAATGCGTATATGTGGTATATATGTGAGCTTTAGCTAATTTTGCTGTGTGTTTTAACTATTTAATTTATAATCATGTTTTTTTCCTATATGACATCGCTTCAAATGTCGGTCGTGAGTCTTAAGTTTGAGAGTTCCTAAAAATTAATGCTACGGACATGTCTGTTTATATAAACTTGAAATATTTACATTGATGTTGTGAGTTTGCATTTCTTTGAATGAAATTCATAGAATTCAAGTTGTTTTCCTATCATTCTATTCAGAACTATAGTTTCAGTTTTGCCAATTTTATGTTATTTTTCAATTTCTTATGATTTCAAGCATTTGATATCACCTAATTGAAATTCAACCCAATTGAGTTGAAGTTAATGTTTGAGAAGTTTGGTAGTCCATATATCTAATACTGCTGACAAAGTTTTATCTATCATTGCCCATTTCTCCTTGCGGAGATATCTAGCAATGGCAGAGGAGGTGCCACAGTCTCTAAATTATATACCAGAAGTGATTCTAAAGAAGAGGAAGAACAATGAAGAATGGGCAATCAGAAGAAAACTCCAGTTAGAGCAGAAAGTCAAGAGACTTAAATCTGATAATTTTGTTATCAAGAAGCCTGAGCAGTTTATTCGAGAGTACAGGGATAAGGTATGTTTAAATTGAATTTCAACTTTTTTCCTTTCGTCAACTGTAAGATTATTACTTGCACACATCTTTTGATTATTTTTTTATTAGTGACACATGTCAACTGTAAGATTATTACTTGCACACATCTTTTGATTATTTTTTTTATTGGTGACACATTCAATTTATTTCATCAAGTAATTGTTCATTTTTTCCTATTGGCTTCAGCATTTTATTTTTGTCTTGAGCTTCTTTATCGGTTGTAGAATCTTTTATCAGGAATTTTGTGGTGTGACAATTGTTAAGTTTTGATATATGCATATATAAGGTGTGATATTTACTCAGATTCACTTATCCTTTATTTTGGTGTCCCGAAACTAAATGATATCCAATTTTTCTTATAATCACTTGCAAGTAACCAGCGTCTTTCGTCTTTCCTGAATATGAAAGTCTTTGTGGTCAAAACTTCTGACTAGCGTTCTATAGAGGTCCAATAGTCATAATACACAATGACGCTCCAAGAAAGAGGGAAGACAGTATTTGTGCAATTTCTAGAAGAAAGATAGTAAAAGACCTTGTGAAGCAGTGTCTGAATACAAGGTTTCCCTTTTCTCAATTAAAAGATCTTGTGAAGCAGTATGGACAATAATGTATTTAGGAAAGATCCATTAAATGTTGAAATTTAGGGGATCGGGACTTTACAACACTCTGTAACTACTTTTGCCTTGTACTCACATACATACAGTAATGATGATTATCTACCTTTTCTGAGCAATCACCTTGCAATAATCTGATTTATGATTTGTAGTGTATTGTTCTTTCAACATCCTTCTCATCTGAGCTGTTGTAAAATATATTTAGGAGATGGACCTTATCCAAATGAAACAAAGGGGAAAGAACAGATCCAGGCGAGCTTTTGTCACGTCTGAGTCCAGTCTCCTTTTTGTCATACGCATTGGAGGGTAAGTTCCTGGTTTTACTATCATACTTCTACTTTTAAGCTAGGGTAACTTACTTTTGGGTCCTAATAATTGTATATCGCTTCAGAAAATCTGATATGCACCCAAGAACGCGAAAGCTCTTGTACTCTTTGAGGCTGCGGAAAATCTTCAATGGCGTCTTTGTGAAGGCAGATGCAAGAATTTTGGAAATCCTGCAAAAGGTGGAGCCTTTTGTCACATATGGGTAGGTTTAAGTAGCCTTTTCTATTATTTTGCTACATTTGATGAACTCACTTTACTGGATATCCTTAAAGTACTCAACCTCAAATTAGTAACTATAGGCATTGTGCTTGCTGGAAAGCAGGTGATCTCACCTTTTTGTCTACTGGTTACTTGGTTTTTGCCGAGTACTTTTCTCTGTCCCTGTTGTTTGTGTGTAGTCCTTGATACACGTGACAAGTTGTTTTACCTTCTCTCTCTTGGTTATGTCAGTCTTGTCAAGTTAAATATGCTGTTAGACATCTAGTATAACTACAGTAAGAAGGTGCTTTGGTGGATGTGTTGGAATAACCAATGCTTACAACTGCATGACAGTTTGATGTCCTGCAGCATTAAATAAGTTTGGACAAGTTCCTCGCTCGACATTTCTCCTTCTTTTTTTCTCAATGCCTAACTATAGTAGGCTGTATCTAAAGAGCCACACTTAACTTCTGGATGGCCGTACCATGCTATTTTCACCTTTTGGGTTGGATCTGAAACTAAGCATACCCTAGCTATGGGGGTACTAACATTAAATGGAGGGAATTGTTTGACTAAGGCAAAAATGAAAAATTTCCTAGACAGGAGAAAATTTTAATGACTCATAACAGCAGGTCAATACTAAGTTTAAGGTGTACAAATAATGCATGACTCTGTTTATTTTAAGTTTAAAGCTATCTTTAACATGATATTTTTTTTTCTTCCATTAATTTTTGTTGTTTGCATGGCATGTTAGCATCTAGTGTGTCTTTCGTGCAAAATCTCTAGTAAACACCTCATTCTACAACATAGAAACCTAGTAAATTTCTAAGAAGTAACCAATATCTACGTGTTAGCATTTGCCCAATCAAGCATACAAATAATTGTGATATTTTCTCTTTGGAAGGAGACAATTGTTGCCCCCTTTCTTCAATTTTCTATTGATTGGTGCTGACTTTCTTGTCCCTGAAATTTAGTTTTACATTCATATTAGAGCTGCCGATGGACCTTATTTAGAATATTTGTATTATCTCATACTTATAATCCTGTTGAGGAATGCAGTTTTCTCCTCATGCCAAAATCTGTATTTGCTTCGTCTTTGATAGTTAAATTGGCGTAGGTCAAGAAAGAGGAAAATGAGAACCTTAATTAAGTCTATGTATTCCTTTAGCATATTTTATCATATAACCATTTTAGTGTCATCAGCTATCCCTGAATATTCATCCATCTACTGTCCCACCAATTTGAAGACAATTACTCTTGAAGTAGAAAATTTTAACATCATATGACACCAGGAGCGTAATAATAATACTTACACCGGGATCACATAGGTCTGATAAGTGTTCAAATACACTTGACCTCTATTTGCGATTGGGGCTTCTTTGAGTATGAATGTTTCGGGTTATACATAAATTAGTTCAATTTTTGGGCTTAGCATAGGACGTCTACACTAATGGGCTTATTTCTTAACCAAAAATAAGTAGGAAAAATTACTTGGATTGAAAAAGAGTGTGATACAGCAATGCTCCTCCATGACATGGGATATCTCAAGGCTTATGGTGTATGCTCAACAAACTGAGGGATTGAAGCTCAAAGAAAAGAATAGAGAGGTGAAAAGGGCTAGAACAGGTGCTTTTACAGCTAATGGTCACCATCTACTTGGAAACCATGCCTGATATTGTTAGAAGATCATATTGCAATTACATATTCCTTCTTTATACAGGATTTTAAAAGTTTTTAACCATGTAAAAAACAAAACATTTTTAGCAGGTCTTTGCATTTCTTCTGTCCTTGTCCAAAAAAAATTCTCTGTATTTCTCTGTTGTCATTACCTATGGGCTGTGTAGAATATGTCTAATGGAACTGTTCATGCTTTTGAAGATATCCAAATCTCAAGAGCATCAAGGATCTGATTTACAAGAAAGGTGCTGGAAAGATTGACAATCAGAGAGTTCCTTTAACCAGCAACGAAGTTGTCGAACAGGTACCATAAATTCAATTTCTTTTTTTCCTTTTTAACAAGTTGCCGAAGGCATCTATCATCTTAGTATATAGTTTGTGGGAGTTCCTGTGTAGTAACTATTTACTGTTTGCAGGCATTGGGTCAAAATGGTATTTTATGTTTAGAAGACGTAGTGACTGAGATTGCCAACGTTGGTCCACATTTCAAAGAGGTCACTAGTTTCCTGTGTCCCTTTGCTCTCAACAAGCCAGAAAAGGCATTGCAGGGTAAGAAAAAACGATTTTCAGATGGGGGCGATTCAGGCAATTGTGAGGATCACATCAATGAGCTGGTCAGCAAGATGAATTAGCAGCATATTCAAGCTGGTCTATTTGTTAGCTGTAATCATTGTTTGTGATAATGTCATTTAGGTATGTAGCACTTAAAACTTTGTCGGATGATGCAGAAGAATTGTAGTTATGATACCTAATATTATATTCATAATTTTCACCGTCCACTGATCTCAGTAGCCTCTTTGTGGGTTGTTTCTTATTTGTACCTTGAAGCCAAATCCATTCAACTGTATCCGGCTTTTTTGTGTACAGATATTTTACTATGCAACTGTTGAAAGCTTTAGCACTAATCCTATCGTTGAGAAGATGAAGTGAGAACAAATTGGAGTGAGCCCGGGGTTGCTCAGGTCCATTTAAACACAAATAACCCGATCCCACCTTGATAAACAAGGGCATGAAAGTTGGTTCGGACATTACAAATACCTAACCCCAAATTGATAAATAAGAGCGTGTGAAAGTTGGTTCGAACATTACAAATAATTATCTTTAAAAAAAAAAAAATGATGATTGAAATTGCAAATTGCACTAGTGATGCATATGCTATAATATTAACAAATTAATATAATAGTAGATTTTTATAGACTGAAGATCTAATGGCGTGGCTCTTATAACCAATTCCTGAAAGAAGGAATGGAGGAAGGAGATGATTGGACAGCCCCTGATAAGCTCTACCACATACTCTTCTGCTTCTTCATTGCTATCATTTCATCTTTTCTCGCGGAAAGAACTCGCTACTCTTTCATCCGCCGCCGGAGCATCTGGGTCGGATCTATTGTTTCACTCGCTGCCGGCGCCGCTAAGGAGGTTGCCGACGAACTGGGTTTTTTCAGGTCAGCAGGTGCATCTACCAAGGACGCTGTTGCCGACGTCTTTGGTACTCTTATCGCTGCTCTCGCATTTTCTCTGTACAAATCATCCTTCATACGCCGGAGACCCGATCAATCTGTTCAAGCTAAAGTACTCCAGATGGTTTAATCTGTTGCTTGGAATAAAAAAAATGAATCAGATGATTCGGTACTTCACTAAGCTGAATTTCTTTATTTAATCTTCTATCAATCATATATATGTTTTCAATCTCTGAACTAGAAAAAGTTCCCTTTTCTCTTAAAATTAAATTATTAAAACTACGATAACAGAGGTAGAATGTCTAACCAATAATTCATATGAAGTAGATAAATAAATTAGATGCAGAAAGAGTGAATTGTTTTTGTTCTTCTCTGTTAGGATCTTCATGAGCAGTTGCTTTTAGGACAGTTTTTATATGAACATATTGCTTTCATAATTGGATACTATTTCAGTACAAATCTTCTGGTTTCTATTATTGATTTTTTTTTTAATCATACATGTATTGATTGTCATATTTATCCATGACTTTATTATATGATATCACCCTTAGTAGGATAGTTGTTATGACAGTTATTAGGACTTTGGATCTTTTTTCTGCTTGGTCTGTTGTCCTAAGATAGTAGTGTACAGCCTTAACAGTTTCAATACAGAGAGTTATATATAGTCCATTTATGCAATACTCTAATCGGAGAAAAGAAATGTTTTAATATGACAATAAGCTGGATTTGCTTGTGCCAATTTTGGCAGTACTTTATGTATGAACAATAGTTCTTTCTCATTTGATAGTCATGAACAATACTTTCGTATTCATTAGCTTGCTTCCTAAGAGAAACGGAAATATGGATCGAGTCTCTCAGTTTCATTTCGTACCCCTCCAAGATTTCAGACAAATGAAAAAGAAAAAGAATTTCCACTCATGTGGCACTAGTTCTGTGAATTGAAATACATTATACAGAGGTCTCTTTTACAATTCAGTAAAAACTCACCAATTCTACGCATCGCATAAGTTTGCCAATAGTAGCTCACCAATGTTCATTCCTTCTATATCTTGCTCTAATCTGTTCTTTTGATAAGTTATATCTTGCTCAAAATCTGTACATTTGGAGAGAGTGGAAAGATTTTGTTTTATTCAACCCACTCTTGCCTTCCAGGTGTTTTTACATTCATAGAACTGCACACCATCTACAAATATAGGCGATTATGATGGTTCGATGGTGTTACTGATGAATTACCTTCTGAAACTATGTTCCAGGGAAGGCTTTGGATGATTGTCTCTGTCTTCATCAGGTAGTTTGACAGCAGAGTAAACGCCTGCCCCAATGAGAGCGCCAAGAATCGGAGCAGTAAGGTAGATCCAGATGGCTTTATAGTTTCCTACTGCTACTGCTGGTCCGAGGGTTCTCACTGGATTCATTGAAGCCCCAGTTGTCTCCCTAAAACACGAGAAATACAAATTGTGAGAAAGACCATAAACTACTCTCTTTTTTTCTTTCACAAGCTACTAAGTGATTCCTACGGAAGCCGTCACTATTTCGGTATTGTATTATGTATTACTTCCTTGATTTTTCATTCATTTTATGTCACGTCTTGTTTAGACAGAGTAACCATGTGCTGTAGCAAGTGTAAGATGTATTGAAATTATTGTTGAATAAATATTTTGAGAATTGAATTGTTGTTATACAACAATTGTGCTTGAAAAAGTTGTCAAAGTTAATACTCCTATTATGAGAAAATGATCGTTTAGAGATAAAGAAAGAGAAAGTGTCTGTCTTCTTTATGCATTAGCTGGATATGCGGACACTTAGGACCTGTTTGGCATGAGGTATTAATTAAAATAGTCTATGAATTATATTTTAGTCTAAGAAAATATTGTTTGGTTACTCTATTTAACATAATCTATGAAATAGTTATATCTCATACAGGGTTTTATTTAATCCCTAGAAAAGGGAGGAATAACTAATCCAAGGTTTAACAATCCTTGGATAAGACCTCTAAATTACTAAACTATCCCCAATACTTTTTCCTAAATTTCTATGTAATTTAATGTTCTTTTACTTTTTTTTTATATTAGGATATTATAAATATTCTTTTAAATTCTCCAAATCCGTTCCATATAATTTGAAGATTTCACAAACTAATTTTTTTCCTCTTCATGTTTGATTTGCTATATTGAGTTGATTTTTAAAGTATTTTTTTAATGTCGTTGATTGACCACATGAACTATTTGTTTTTTTAAAAAAATAAATAAATAAGTTTCTTCTATTTTGAACAATTTAAGTAGTCTTAAAACTATGTTAAATTAAGGTGTATTTGACTAATAAAAAATTAGAAATATATTGTGGTATTAAGGATGGCGGCAAATCACACATCAAAATTAATAATAATTTTTTTTTTACATATTTTAGTATTTATCTAATTGACTAGTTAAACGAAATGGAAAATCTCACAATAAACCCAAGAGTATAATAGGAAATAATTTTTTCTAGAGTCTTAGACCAAACATGAAATTAGGTGGGAAGTAATGAACCAAACACATGATAAAAATCAATTCCTGCATTACTAAACCCTACATTACTAATCAATGATTTAGTAATCCCTGCGTTATACATCTACCCCTTACTACATAGATCTTCATTTCAGAATTCAGGGATATGATTTTTTTCACCGTTAGCTGTATAGCTACTCAATGTTGATTGAAGATCTTCGTGCAAATAAAGAGTATGGTAGGAATGGATATCATTTTTTTTACCCTTAAATCATAAGTCTTAGGTCGAGCCATGAGATGAAAAATCGTTCCCCTTAATGGTGTCTTACACGACATGATTATGATTTTTAGGTAGTCGTAGCTCAGGAGACTATGGTTTAGCCCAAAAAAGGATTTACCATATGACTACTACAGCTTAACACAGAGCAAGAGCTGCAGATCATTACCCAGCTATTAGTATGTTAAGCATGACAGTGGCTCCTACAGCGATTCCCGCAAGCTCTCCTACCTATATAGTTTGCCAAGAAAAAAAACGACCCTCGCTTAAATATCTGATGTGAGTAAATTTCGGAAATGAATAAATAAACAAACCATTTTTGAATTGACTAGTAAGAACAGAGAAACCATCATGCTTACAGCTCTAGTGTCGGTGGCCACGGCAGTGACAACGAACATGAGATTGAAGCTGATGATGAATTCCAAAGCAAAAGCTTGAACATAACTACCAGAAGGAACAGTGACTCCACCGCCCATAATTGGGTGCAAAACTACCTTTAACGTGAATGCAGCACAAAATGATGCTATAATTTGTGCTCCAATGTACACAGGAACCTGTTAAAAAAAAAATTAAATACACATGCAAAATGAACAATCCGTTAAGTGCTTAACAAATGAGAGCCCTAAGTGGTACAGAGTGTGTATTCATACATGTTTCCAGGGGAAATGATTGAGAGCAGCAAAACCAATAGTCACAGCAGGGTTGAGATGGGCTCCAGAGATGTGGCCAGTTGACAGAATCACAATCATTACAGCGAGGCCTGTCGAGGCTGCCAGTCCAATTAATGTTTCAGAGCCTTGTGTCTTCTGGTTCACTATGGCTGTGGCTGTCCCTGCAAATATCAGTATCAGAGTACCTATAAACTCTGCTCCCACCTGATACAAAACCAATCTTCATATCAGCTATACATTGTTGCATTAACACGTTCAACTGAACTCAATATTTTTGACAAAAATATTTTAAATCCTGAATCATCGTCTCTATTTGTACTTCTCTCACCTTTCTAGCTAATGAAATAGGAGGAGGAGGTAACATGCATGTAACAGCAGGCAACGTTCCTTCTTCTGAGGCCCACGGTTCAACACCGAAGCATTTACAGCTCTTAAGAAGAGATTTTTTGCCATTCCCTCCGTTTCTCCGCTCATGCTTGATCAATCCACCAAAGAGAGGAGCACCAGGAGTCCCCGGAGTTGCTGGTGTTGAAGGAGCTGACACACCTTCTTCAGGGTCCATCGTGTCTATTGATCTCTCAACACTTGTTCCTATGAGATTAATTTCGAAAAAAAGCCTATTACTCGAAGATTATCAAGTTAAGACGGAGAAATAAGAGTTTGTAATTGAAGTCAGGGTCTGAATTACACAAATACTCTCACAATGTATTAATAGCTAGACAAAGTTGAGTTAACTCTACTTTGTCCTTGTGTATACTGACAGTGAGCCTGGCCAGTGAATACTATTTATAGTTCTATTTTGCATCATTAACCATGAAGAATGTTTGACTTGGAGAAAAAGTTTGTGGATAGAATTGAAAGATAGAAAAGGGAAGTGGGATTTTTGGTAGTGGAAAGTGGGGCAAGAATCAAAATCCTTTGTATTTGGAAAAATTTAAAAGAACAAAGCATTGAAACTCTGGACATCTGTCATGTGTTTCCACTTGATCTACTTATTGAACACAAGATCCATTTAACTATACAAATATAATCATGGAGCTGAGACTATTTTTATCCAGCAACATCGCAGGCAGACGTTTGGACATGAATTGGTTGATATTTAAAGATTGATATAGATTTGTGTTTGAACACGCAGTGTTTTGTTATCGATTGAAATCAGTCTCTCCCTCTGTAAGAATATATTTTTGCTATTGAATTTAAGGTCTATTGAAAACAGTCGATAAGAATACACTAAAATGTTATTATTGTCATTGAAATAAAGTCTTTGCACACACGGTGTTTAGTTATCCATGCTGCTATCTTTTGATGAAAAAATAAACAGGAGGGGAAGAATCATGGTAGGTGAATTTCTTAGAAGTGGGCAAAAATCAATTTATATAATCATCTTCCTTTAATAAAGTAAATTTTTTTTGATTAATATTGTCATGATTGTTAGGAGAAAAGAAAAAGAAAATCTCAACACCAGGTCGACCATGCTTATTCTACTACCTTCCATTTACTTTTAAAACATGTGGATGAGTCCATTTCTCTATTAACTTTCTAAATTAAAATTTCCTAAAACTAAAATTTATTTGTCATGCATATAGAGTAGTATTCTAGCTACAAATTTTAATCAAAAGAGGTCTTTGTTAACAATTCAAAGTGCTACATCAAGCTGGAACAAGTCATTTGGCAATTTTCCACTTTGAATTCTCTACATTTCTATATATTATGACTTCTGGCTTTGTTAGTTTGGGCCTAAAGTCGATACCAAATCATGGATGTCACGTCTTGAGCTAGCGTTTGGAAAAGAAATATTCATTTTTTTAACATTATATTAGAAGATGACTGTTAGGACCAGAATATGCAAAACTCGAAAGATCACGAGTAAGAAGACAACGAGAAATATACCAAAAGATACAAAGATTTAACGTGATTCGATCAATCGATCTATGTCCACAAAGGAGATGAGCAATCCACTATAAATATGAGAGTACAAAATACAGAGAGAAACAATCTCAACCAATTCACTCGAAATACATGAGAGGTTCACACAAATAATAACGTATCAAGCTTGTGACTCACAAATTCTCCCCCTAACCAAAACTCTCAAAAGCCCTTTAAGATTACATTGTAAATGCTAATTAAGTTAGAAGGAAACATTCGTCTATTTATAGAGTTCTAAACCCTTTCCTACAAGAAAAGGATTAGTCAATCCAAAATATTTTTCTAAAAATAAAACCTATTTATGGTAAGAAATCAGGACAAATAAAATCAACAATGACACATTCAATTCATGATTTATCTTGTTTGACCCCTTGTTAATAATAAATTGTCCAAATTCTAGATGTCCATGAGAATAGTCTTTTATATAGATAATAGAAAGATAGTTTAAACTCTCTACATATTTTTAAACTATCTTTCATCTATTAAGCTAATTTTTAGAATTAAGTCAGATCGGAAGCCATTTTATTTTCTAACTTAAGTTGAGTGGAATGATAAAAAGGCATCCACTGATCCACAAACACATGGGGTTTCGTGCTAAATAAAATGTATACTGCTGTTTTCAGTAAAAAGATTAGCTGGAAATATATAGTACTAAAAGTGCATATAATAGGCAAAGGAATCCTTTTATTTATTAATGAAAATGTCAAAACTTATCCCAATTAAATCAATAACAACGTAGGCCTATATTTCTTCTTCTGATTTTGGTGGCTCTCAGTACTTCACCATTAAAGTGCAACTAAAAAGAATTTCAAACATAATCATAAAGCAAAAGGAGATCATAAGGAAGAATCCATCATCTGTTAAATCAATGATTTTAGCATGCACTTGATGATCAATGCTTTATGGCGTTTTTATTTGTTTATAATTAAACAGAATAAGTTCTATGTTGTGCTTAATTAATTAGGTTATAACAACTTTAATTTGAAGGTGGATGGATTCACATATTTAAAAAGATTATATTCTAATCATGATTTCTAGGCGCAACTCAACTAATTAATTTAATAGCATAATACATAAATATGCCCTTTAACTTGGTTTTGAATTATATTTATGCCTTTCAACTTTGGGCGTACATGTC